AAAAAAAAAAAAAAACCAACTCAATGTTTGGTATCTGTATTGGAGCTGGATAAAACTTGAATGCACGTAAAAAACTATCACATTAAAAGGTAAAACTCTCTCTAATAAAAGCAATTTCATGCTAAAACTCAAACTCGAAACGTCTAATTAAAGTATAATTTATGGAGAGGTTGGACTTGTGATGTATACTTTGGTTTTTATTGGATGTCCACTTGCTTTTTAAGTCTTATTCCTTATAATTTAACGTAATAATCTTTTAACATTCCTTTGGTCCCATGACATTCACTTTTTCATGTCCTACTTGCTTCTTAAGGCTTCAAACTACAACCACAATTATGAAAATAAAATTCCAAACATCACTTTCTTTTTGCTCAATTTATTGAATAAAAATCTACTTTTTTTTGTTTCAAAAAAGTATTGCTTTAACTTATTTCACGTCCAATAAAGTTTATATATAATAAATAGAATATATAAGTTACTAAGTTGAAGTAGTCACTTGGTTTAGAGACAATGAAGGATTTTGCTTACGCTTAATTAGATGATCCATCTCAATAGGGGTTCGATTCTCCTTAGACACATATCAAAAAGCTTACGCGGGATATGTTATTGTTATTTGTTTGTTTGTATAATTTACTAAAATACCCTTATTTATTAGATGTTTCTTAAGAATTGAACGCCTATTAAGAAGTAGTTCTTCAATACAATGGTATAGTTGAAAACAATTATTATTTCTTATTTTAAATTTCTAAAACGACAATCCTTTTAGGTTATTTTTTCTTGCTAAAGGATGAAGGAGTTTTTTTATTTATTTAGAAAATATGTTTTGTTTTTTAAAAAAAAGGATATATTTCAGAAAATATTTTCAATCATACAAATAACCACAATTATATTTCCATTTTGTTCTAAACTTATTTTATTTTTTAAAAATAAAATAAAATCTGATTTTATTAGGAAGCACATCGCAAAAGGTGTCAAAATCCATAAAATGCTAGAGAGACAAGAATTGAACTTAGAGACTTAATTTTCTTCACTATACACTGAAATTCCAAGAACATTTTCGTAATTTTGTACACCTTTTTGACTTACGTGGCATCCAAGTATCTCTCACGCGCTTTAATAGCGTGGAGTCACTGAGTGTGCCACATAGGCCAAAAGGTGCACAAAATTATATATAAAATGAGTTCAGGGAGGTAATAGGACCTTAGTTTAGTTAAGGCGTGTCTCTGGAATTTCGATCATAGTCTAGACGGTTCTTATGCCTTGTCCCTATACAAAATAAGTAGTTCTTGTGCACATTCAATGTCTCATACAATCTGAAAACCACTATGAAAGAGGTACCTGATAACACTTTTCGTTTGACAGAACCTATATAGTATGCTCTGATGCCAATGTTCAATAAAACACACAACAAAGAAATGAAGTCACACCCCACTTGTGGGACTATACTGGGTACGTTGTTGTTGTCAGTTCTATTATTGATGAATCTGCCTCTGATCTTGAGGGAGAATATAGATAAGGCTTGGGAGGCATTTGCAAAGAGTCTAGTTTCCCTTCTAACATTTCCACAACCTTGCTCATCGATGGTCGATTTGCGGGATCAGTCTGTATGCACCACAAACTTGCTATCACCATCTTTCTTGCACATTCATTCTCCTCTTCATTCATTATCCCGATTAGTTGAAGCTCTTCGTCTAGTTCAATTCGTCGATAGAGCCAATGTGGAAAGTAGATTTCACTCGTACGATCAACTCCAACATCAACATTTTTTCTTCCTCCAACCATCTCTAGGACCATCATTCCATAGCTATAGACGTCAGACTTGTGAGAGACACCTCCCAAGTTTCTACAAACAATTTCTGGAGCAATATAACCGATAGTCCCTCGTGGACCTAACATTGACACAATACTCTCCTGTTTCATGCACAATTTGGCAAGACCAAAATCAGAGATTTTAGGACAAAAGTTGTCATCAAGTAGGATATTATGAGGCTTTATATCAAAATGCAAAATACGAGTGGTACAACCACGATGCAAGTACTCCAATCCTCGAGCAATGCCTAGTGCAATTTTGTACAAGATTGGCCAACCTAATTGGCGAACACTGTCGGATCTTTCCTCATAGATAAACTTTTCAAGAGACCCATTTGGCATGAACTCATATACAAGAGCTCTTTTGTGACCCTCAAAACAAAATCCCACAAGGCTCACAATGTTGACATGTGATGTTCTGCTAATACTTGCCACTTCGTTAATGAAATCTTCACCACTGCCTTTTAGTTCATTCAGGACCTTTACTGCTACTTCATTCCCGTTACGCAAACTTCCTCTGTATACATTACCAAATCCTCCATGGCCTAGTTTGTTTCTGACGCGACCGGTGATTCTTTTGATGTCTGTATAATTGTATCTGTTTGGACTGTATGATCCGTAGTTCTTTAAGAATTCTTCAACTCTTTGGTGATCCTGAGCATTAGATTCCCAAAACCTGATGAGGTATTTGTACCACAACTTTTTTTCTCTGAAGCAAAAGAGTAGTAAAACCAACAGGCCAACAGTAGTACAAACTTGCACCTGTGGGAAAAAAAATGAAATCATGACCCATCAGAGAAAAAAATTTCCCTCAGCTCCACATCCATAAATTTTGTGTACCGAAAACTATTTAATTCTTTTCTTTCTGTTTCTTTATCACTAGAGAAAGGTTTTGAGCTAATACAAAATGATGAGAATTTAAATGATATGCATGAATATTCTGTAATAAGAATACATGGCAGCAATTAAACATATTTTACTACCTGTTCCCACAATCAGCCCCACCATATTTCTTCCAGTTGTTTCTTTTCTTTGATCTGTAGTACTTGTAGGTGTTTTTGCATCTACAGAAGGGGGCAATAATATGAAATATATTATTTATGCGGCATGAAACAAGAAAGGGACTTAAGAAGCATGAACTTGACCTTGAATGTATAGATTATTTTGGAGATGTCTACCTTTGTGACAAGAAAATTTGTTGGTTTTATCAGTTTGGCATTGACCTCCACCATCATGACATTCATTACATTCATCAGACAGTTTCCATTCTGCTAGAAATTCAGGACCTAACACGTCGAACAAATCACCATGACTTGAGTGAATTGGCAATCTGATAAGTGAACAGTTGGTAGGAAGATTGTCTGCTCCTTTGGAAAGGTTGTAGTATATGTTAAAGCCTTCACAGCCATTGTATATATTATAACCAACAAAATGATTGTTCTTCTTGTGTGTAATGTTACGGGCATTATAACTGGTACTGATGCATTTGAAGAAGCTATGAATATTAACCATATGGAAAGACATAAAATGAGAGTTTGGAAGGGAGAAATTTTTGTTAAAAGCCTGGCAATTGTGTTGCATCAACGTTGTTTGAAGCTTCGGGTCCCTAAGCCAAACTGATGAATTATGCATGTCTAAAGCATAGTACCATTCTCCTCCAGGAACTAGTTGGATTCTTGGATATGGTTTAGCATCACAACCAGACATGGACATCATTCCACAATCAGGTTGTGTGGAAAGAGAGAAAGGAAAGCTCAGGTCTGTAAAATCTCCACATGAAAATGACTTTGGACAAGTTGAAACATTTCTGCCCTTTGCCTGAACTAAGATAAGAAGAAGAGATAGAAGAAAGCTTACAAATGAAGTGATAGCCATATTAAATATCTCAAGAAGAGGAAGACTAGATTATGAACTCATTTTTCATTACACTTACATTTTAAAGCATAGTTGATTTGGAAAATTTGTGAGAAAAGTATATTAGGTGCTGTGAAGGAAAACTCAAAGAAACTACATCTTGGTGTAAACACTTGGAAGTCTTGCATCAATATCTAGACTTAGTCGACTTTTTTGTGAGTTTCATATATCAACTTTCCATTATGCCTTTTACCTACCTAAACTATATATCACTCTCTTTGTATAAAAACAAACCACGATGTTGAGTTTGCCAAATATTATTCATACTTGACAACAGGCGTGTGTTGGCCAATTCAACATTGAAGGTATGTTTTAATACAGAGGGAGTGATAGTTTAGGTAGGTAAAAGCAAACAATGGATAGTTGAGATATGAAACTCGCGAAAAGGTGAAAAGAGTTAATGGTCAAAAACACACATATAAAGAAGTCTATTCTAACATTCTTGGAAGTGGAAAAGTCTCAGAATTGTATTTAGATATTTCCGAAGAATTCTGTCAACATCTAAAGGAATTTTCTCCCTCTACTTATGCATCCTTTTCTCTTTTTTCTCCGTTTGGTCACAATCGTTTTCTAAGTAGGACACTATATACAATTCTATTCTAGCATTTTTAGACATAAAATGCTAGAGAAACAAAAATTGAACTTGAGACTAAATTTTCTTCACTATACACTGAGATTCCAAGAACATTTTGCTTCATAGTCTTTATATACAAAATTAGTAGTTCTTGTGCACATTTAATGTCTCATAGAATCTCAAAATAGGTATCTGAGAACACTTTTCATTTGACAGAACCAATATAGTAAGCTCTGATGTCAATGCTGAATAAAACACTCAACTAAGAGATGAAGAAGAAATCAGAAAGAATTGTAACAAAATTGTTGACATTCTTGGGAATGATGGACGAATTAATCGTTTTCGTTCCATGGCATACAGAGTCTATCGAAAAAAACTCACTACCCCACAAAAGTACAAAAGTAGAGATGAGGTCTGCGTACACTTTACCCTTCTCACGCCACACTTGTGGGACTATACTGGGTATTTTTTTCCTAATTGTTGTTGTTGTTGTCAGTTCTATTATTGATGAATCTACCTCTGATCTTGAGGGAGAATATAGGTAAGGCTTGGGAGGCATTTGCAAAGAGTCTAGTTTCCCTTCTAACATTTCCACAACCTTGCTCATCGATGGTCGATTTGCAGGATCAGTCTGTATGCACCACAAACTTGCTATCACCATCTTTCTTGCACATTCGTTCTCCTCTTCATTCATTATCCCGATTAGTTGAAGCTCTTCGTCTAGTTCAATTCGTCAATAGAGCCAATGTGGGAAGTAGATTTCACTTGTACGATCAACTCCAACATCAACATTCTTTCTTCCTCCAACCATCTCTAGGACCATCATTCCATAGCTATAAACGTCAGACTTGTGAGAGACACCTCCCAAGTTTCTGCAAACAACTTCTGGAGCAATATAGCCTATAGTACCTCGTGGACCTAACATTGACACGATACTCTCCTTTTTTATGCATAGTTTGGCAAGACCAAAGTCGGAGATCTTTGGACAAAAATCCTCATCAAGTAGGATATTATGAGGCTTTATATCAAAATGCAAAATCCGAGTGTTACAACCACGGTGCAAGTACTCCAATCCTCGAGCAATGCCTAATGCAATTTCATACAATATTGGCCAGCCTAATTGGCGAACACTGTCGGATCTTTCCTCATAGATAAACTTTTCAAGAGACCCATTTGGCATGAACTCATATAAAAGAGCTCTTTTGTGACCCTCAAAACAAAATCCCACAAGGCTCACGATGTTAACATGTGATGTCCTGCTAATACTTGCAACCTCATTAATGAAATCTTCACCATTGCCTTTTAGTTCATTCAGGACCTTCACTGCCACTTGACTCCCGTTACGCAAATTTCCTCTGTATACATTACCAAATCCTCCTTGGCCTAGTTTGTTTTTGAAGTGATTGGTGATTCGCTTGATGTCTGTATAGCTGTATCTTTTTGGAGCATATGACCCAGAGTTCTTCAGAAATGCTTCAATATTTCGGTGATCCTCAGCTATAGATTCCCAAAACCTGAGATTTTTGTCCCAGAAAATCTTTTTTCTCAAGCAGAAGAGCAAAATCACGACTCCGATGCAAGAGAAAACTGCAAATGTGGGGGAAAAAGGAAAGTCATGCACCGGAAAGAGCCTGGTTTTGAGGCAACACAACAATTACAACATTTGCAAGGCAATAGGAGATTTTGTGCAAGTCTAATTACAGATAACAGACATGTACCTGTGCCTAGTATCAGTCCCAAATTTCTTTTTGCTTCTGCAAATACACAGAAATGAAAGATTAATAAGTCACAATAAGAGTGAAAGCAACTCACTTCCGTTCACGTTGACATATTAAACATCTTGGAATGAACCAACCAACACACATCTAAATCCTTTCCAAAAATGAAACCAGACATACACAAGCAACTGACAGGTTTCTTATATCCAATACCTCTGCAGCAAAAGAAGTTGTTTTCGATGTCACTTTCGCATCGCCCTTCTCTATGAAGATAGTTGGAATAATTAACGACAATTCCAATCTAATGTGAAACTAGGAGTCAACAGATCAAACAAATCAGTAGAATTTGGTTCTGAAGGTGAAGGATGAATTTGCAGGAAGATCACTAGCTTGAATACTATGGCTTTGATTAATTCTTTGTTTATGACACTAAAAGCTAAAGGCATGACAACTCGAGTAGTTCTTATAACTTTGAAAATAACGATCAATCAGCATACTTTATTTGTGTATTTGAAAGTACAAAGTAATATTGTTGTAGACTCAAAATAGAACATGAGGTGGGAAAAGATAACTTGTGGTTCCACTCTTCCACAACGAAACTCTTTTGGACAAGATTTACTCTCTAATTGAACTAAGTTAAAGATAAGCCGATGAAACATAGAGAACATAGCAGAAAAGGCGGCTGCAGTCAGTAGTCTAACTCTAAATTTCAACAAGTAAGATACAGAAAATACTGCTGGCATAACCACAGGGTTAACAGGACAAGAGTTCAAACCCTGAAATGCATGGTAATTAATCAGAACAAGACACCATTCATCAGAGAAGTAATTAGCTGCTACGAGAATATTAACTTGGCAGCACAGGGAAATCTCCGTACCTCAATTGGTTGGATACATAAAGTTTCACCTTGTTGGTGTTCGATTCCCTATCTTGTAATCCCTTCCACCATTTCCCCTTCCCCTACCACCAATTTTTATATTTATCTTTTTTTTTAAAAGTTGGCTGCGCAAAATTTTGTGGTTAACAATAATCCAAATGCTTAATGCAGCAGTATCTTGATGTCTAGATCATCAAACGATACTTTTTTGTGCGCTTGGTAATCACAAGAAAAGAACCTAAAGCACGGTGCCTAATCATAAGATAAGGTTCTGCATAATTATACTGGAAAATTAACTACTAGATAGGGGCTTACTGGTAGGTGGGCAATTCCAAGCATGAGGCCTGTCAGTGCAGAAACATTCGAATTTATAATCGATAACATCAAATCCGCAATGTCCTCCACTTTCTGCACATTCACTGCAATTACTAGCAGTCCATTTCAATCTAAACCCCCTTCTCAAAAGCACCAGATAGTCAACATCTCGATTACTTCCCTCATCTCCAAGCATTATTTCTACTGGTGCCATTACATGTTTTTCACACACTTGTAATGCAGACTCAAAGCTCTCATCCTCAGCAAACATTGCAAGACCCCAATCATTCCCATTTTCTCCACCACAACCAAAACCAATCATGTGCTTCGAAAGATTCTCAGATATCGATCCATTACACTTTGACAGCAAGTAAATTCTTGATACCTCAACAAACTTAAAAGGGCGATGATCGAGTGACACGTCCTTGATATCAGAAACACAACCATTAAGAGAGAATGACGACTTTTTAATGATTTAGTGGGTCGAATTAAATGGGTCAGATCATTAAATGGTTTAAATGGATATATATTTGGTTCTTAAAATTTTGGTTAAAAAAAAAAAGTCTGTGTCAGAAAATTTTAGTGAAAAAAATAATTAAATATGTTGAGTGATTTTCTGTGCAAAGAAGGCATAGTTGAGTGACTTTTGAGTTGAGAATGAAAGTTGAGTGACTTTTTGTGAAAAGAGTTGATAGTTGAATGACCATCAAAGTTGTTAACTCTAGTATTATTCGAAAATGAATAATATCCTTGTCTATTAAACTTTTGAATTTTTATCTAGCATTACTTACACGTTGTGAAAGAAAAAAATTGTTTTTTTCTATTTGACTTCTTGGAAAGCTCCAACTCGAAGGTAATTTTAAACTATAATAAAAAGTTGAATGGTAATTTTTTTACATTTTCTTCCAAGAATGAAATTTATCCGCTTGTCATTGGAAGTATATGTTAATTATTAGTACGAGACGATTTGTTATCTATATGATATATTTGATTAATTTAAATTTGTGTCACCTATAGACGGATTCACTAAAAGAGAAAATGTTTCCTTTTAGAAATTCTTTCATTTCCAAAGTTTATATCTAAAATCTCATATCAAAAATACAAAAGACAAATTTTGTTATTCCACACGTCTCTTTATATAAAATAATCTCCTAAACAAAGATCTTAGATTCTCTTAAAGCAATATACAATTTTTGTCGTAAACACGTTATTAATCATCCATACGATCAATTCAGTTGTATCAACAACAACATACCCAGTGTAATCCCACAAGTGGGTCTAGGAAGGGTGGATGTAGGCAGACCTGAACCTACTTTTCTGAGGTAAGAGGTTGTTTCAAATAGACCCTCAGCTCAAAGAAACGTTTTCATAGCAGGATTCCAAGAAAAATATGACAACAAATAACAAGATATAAGGCAATGAAGCAACAGATAGTAATACACATTAAAGAATAAGAAACTACGCGACTACTAAATAA